AACAATTATCTAGTTTCTAGAAACAGGAAGGCGATTTAAATGTCATTATAACGAAATATCATTAAATGGAGTAGCAACTAATCACGTAAATTCTGCTTAATACTAGTTAAATGACATTTTATTGAAGGTCATTTGCGATTTGACTTGACGAAATCATATTCTTTGCTTTTGGATATATTAAGTTATTTTGGACAGAATTTTTTTACAAAAAACATGTTCTAAAAATATATATAGGTACATTTGAAACTTACAAAGATCTATTAAAGGTCATGGATTGTTCAAGCTTATTTTTATACTGAATTTAGAGTAGGGTTTATAACAGACAATATTGAAGAAAAAAGCAGTCTATGAATAAATCCTAAATTACTGTTTAATGAAGAGAAGGGAGATGATGGAAGATACAATGGTGCGAACCACTATTGCGGGTAGATGTGACCAATGATAATACTACTCTAATGTCTATGGTTTTTATTGCTGGCTGTTCATAGCAAAAACACAGTGAAAAGATCAATTCTGGATAAAATTCCAACCAAGTCAAGGTCACTATATGTGGTTAACAGATTAATATAAAGAATAAATTTGATTATTTGAAAAATACATTTACAAAAGTTTTAAACAGTTGTTGGAGGATCCTTTTAAGTATAAAATACCTGTGACAGGATACTCCATTCTTCCATAACATAAATTACACTTAATAATTACATTTTTGATTTTTATTTCTTTATTTCATTTTATTACTAAATTTAACTGGGGTAAAGTTGATAATGTTTTTGATTTCATAAGGAACATGGTATATTAAATTAAATATATGCTTATATGCATGGTAACATGAGTGGCGGGGCCCAAATTTAACATTTAATAGAGGAGGTAAACAATATTTTTTTTTTAACAAATTTGTAACACTAAAAAACCTGTCAGTCTCACTCTCTTGATTTAATACAATATGAAATCTTATAGCTGTATGAAATGACAAATTTGTAAAACATTTTCATTTTAAAAAGTATAATCTATGTGGCCGAATTGTATTAAATGAATTATAAGATAGTAAGCTTTTATTTCTTTTCTAAAAGAATAAGCATACTTAAAGTCACTATTCTACATATTTTTGAGCAAAGATATTTGTTACAATTTCTGATGCATTAAAAGTTGTAATGTTTATAAGAATATTGATAAGTATAAAATTGTTTATAACAATTTCCTGACTGAAACAAAGTAAAAGCTATGAAGAGTATGATGTCAAATTCTACGTAAACTGTAAACAAAGCATTCTATCCCATATTAGGCAGCGGCCAGACGAGAGAAAGGAAAGGTGTGAGAACTAAACAAAAAAAATGACCTTTTCGTAAATTGAAGTTTAGCAACTTGGTTCGTATTGCGGTAAATTTACCTTGTCTCCAGGGATATTTTTCGCCGACATGGTGCCTCGTCTTGTCGAACTAAGATCCCACGTCGCTGTACAGACGATGTATCCAGAGAAAGGATCTCACTGTAGCTGCGACAGCCCAGCATACGACACAAAACACTGCACTAACCAATCACTCGGCCATTATCACTGATCGAGCGGTGCTTTAAAGCCACAAACACAATAATCGAGCCATAGCTTGGCGTCGTAATCAACACGATTTCCCATTGACATTCATCGGTACAAATAATTTTTCACAACACTGCACACAAACACGACGACTGACAGGAGCTAACTTGATTGAGTTGAGCTTGACGGAAAATGGCGAGAATAGTAGATAAAACACCCCCGTCTCACGTCCCATCCCGCACATACCGAAGTAATTGAGATGAAGTATCTAGTCTTTCGAATAGATGGCATTATATGTATATTATACCTGAGATTGTCGCTCGAAATAAAGTGATATACTAAAGATGGCGCTGTTTTAACACAAAAATGTCCGTATATTCATCTTTTATCCAAATTTGTTCTGTGTTGATCTGGAGAGGTCAGTAAGTAAGATATATTCATTTATGGATCAGCACCAGTTTAGCATATAGTAACTGCACTAAGTATATTACCAAATATTACATTATTTCCGGTTAGGCTATACTTATTTACAGTTTAGTTGCATGTTAGAACTTATTTCTACTTTAGTCGGCCCCACTTTGTTTCGAAGTGTTGTCTTGTAATTGCTTATTTGACATATTTTTCCATATTTTTTATAGGTTTTAATGTTTCATGTGAATGTTTCGAGCTTTTCCATAAACTAAACTAAATGTCATATGTAATCTGTGTATAAACGGTCAATTTAAATCTGGCCACACTGGCCAAATTAAGTTCGAGCAAGATACGGCGCCACTTTTTCTGTCTGCTATTCGCAAAATGGCGGACGGAGGCGTGGATATAGATTTATACGCGGACGATATTGAGTCGGATTTCAATAGACAGGTAAAATATCAATGTTTTTCTTATTTACACTTGGATAACATCAGTTGCGTATTGTAAAAACGTAATTTTATCTCGTGATAATATAAAATTGTGCCGGCTATTTACAGGATGAATTTGGCGGTGACAACGTAGATTTGTACGACGATGTGCTTGCTGCTCCGCCGCAGAAGCCCGAGGACATTGACGGACCTCGGAACCCATCATCTCAGCAGCATTCGCATCCACCGGAAGAAACAAATGGCAACGCTCCCTATCACAACAGCGCACCAAACCACCATCATGGCCGCCGATTCCAACTCTATGTTGGAAACCTCACTTGGGTTTGTACACGATTTTGATTTATTTAGCGTCCTTTTGTAAATATAGGATTCAAGTTTAATTTTCGGTATTTGTTCTGCGAAAAGAACAAATAGCGATATAGTATGGGAGCTGCCATTTTGAATTTTATCGATGAATCTATTTGACAAAAACGCCATGTATGTGTCCATTGCTAGTTTATATTACAACAAATAATGCTAGTTAATGGTTTATCGAGTTAAAAAGATGTGTGTTATTACACGATTTTTTTTTGTTTTTAAATATTCGCATAAATTAGTGAATTGAAACATGTGTCCACATTAAACCCTATTGTGTTTGTTAATAAAATAATCTATGCATTTAAGTGTTACAGAAAAGTTATTGAGAAGCTATGATAAAACATTTTGTTTGGGTTTACATTTTGTTTGGGTTTTGGGGAAACATTGTATGTCTTACATTTTTTTGGTCTAGTCATAAAAATTAGTGCTGGTCTAAAGCTGTGAAAATGTGCATTTACTTTTTTCCAGTTACCTAGGCATTAAATGTTGTAAAATATACATCATTCTACTATTATACATTAGTCATTTACAGTTACAAAATAATGCGTGTGAGTGCAAATTAGGTTCTAACATTCTTATTGACTTGAATATAATTACATTTAGTATTATAGATTTATTTGATAATGCAAGTTCTGAAATTGCAGCTCCTTTGAATAACCATATGAAAACTGTACAACTTCCATTTTATTTATAAAAAATCAGTAGTAAACCTAAAACAAAGTGCGTAACATTCTTTCAATGTCATAGATAAAAAATGTTTTGGCTACATATAGAGTAGTGAATAAGTCTATACTTCATAAGTAAATGTAATATTTGTCAGGTTGTAATTTATGCTTGTAATGTTAAAATAAAACTAGTAACTTATTTATTTTGTGTAATCAAAATTGAAAATTATTAACCGAGTTAAAGTGTATCATTTTATTACTAAAGTAGGCCTTTAATGGCAATACATGTCAACCCAATATAAATAGTTTGGGTTCCCTTAGAAGTAACCCTTTTCAACGCATGGGTTGTTTTAAATGTTTGTATTGTTTGTTAATATTAAAAATAGCGCAATTTAGGTTAGGAATTGATTGAAATCTCCGTATATTTGTCTAATACATTTTTGGTTCTAGAATATAGGATAGCTTTTTGTCCAAATATGTGTAGATAATGTAAAGTATTTGCTTGTCTGTTTATATCTATCTATATAATCTGGAAGTTGTATTTGTGTGTTTTTATAATTTGTTTACACGAATAAAAATTTATATATGCAAATATTCAATAGAGTTACGACATTTTTCATATGGTTATGATTATTAATTTCGTAATGGTAGAAGTGACATATTGCCATTATGAAAATGAAATAAGTTGTTTGGCGATAAACTTATTATGATTACGCTATAAACTGAAATCACAGTATAGCAAATAGTATTTCTCAACTATTTTACCATGAAAATAATACTTTCAACTTAAGCAATCACCATTTGCTTGGGTTAATAGAATTTGCTTTAAAAATAATAATTGCTAAATTTTTTTTAATTACAATGTTAAGTAACTTGCCTAGTAATTGTACACTTTAATTGTAAAGAAGATACTAAACAGGTATTTTTGATTTAACTTAATTGTATAAAAATATCATGAACTGTATTTGTACAAAATTAATTATATTTCTGATAAATTAGTTGTTTTATGAATAAGTTTTGTAAATTATAAACCTATATAGAAAGATTATGTGCTCTTTCTATATCCATAACTTACGACTTAGATGTAAAGTTTAAAATGATTTGTATTTTTTTTTCATTCAAATGTTAGTTATGTCTGAAATGTAAAAAAGAAATGATAAATTACAATAAATGCCAAGTATTATTTTCATGGTGTATAAACATTTGCTATATTGGTAATGAGAAACAAGAACAAAATATAGATTTGTTTATAAAATTAATATGGTGTCCATTGTCCAAGCGTGTGTACAAAACATTGTCATCCTTGTTCTTTAATTTGGAAAAAGGAGATAACAATGTTCTGTATAGGTGTTTTGGCAATCGACTACCTTCATGTCTTTATTTTCATGATTTGTAAAATTAAATAGTTGTTAATATTGTTAATTATTATGGTATCTTGTTTTTGTTTCAATTTGACAATAGTTTATTTTTTATGCATAATGCGTTCACAGCAAAATTGTTGTCAATTTTTTGGTTTTGTTCAAACTAAAAATTAGAATTAGTTTAAAATCACATCCATTTATATCATATCAAAGTATTTTATTTTTGCTTTTAATAATTTACAATGGTTAACTTGTGGGGGTTGTTGAAGGCGACTTAGAAACAATTTGTTTTCAATGTCTGAAAAATGCTTGTACAACTATTTTCGATACAAAATTTTTCCTAGCGCCTAAGAATGTCTCTTCTACTGATCTTTTTAATTAACTTATGGTTATTCATTTACACATATTTCCATGTGGTATATATTTATAAAATTATACACCATAACAATGCATTCCCACATGTGTATAGTATATCAACACGCTAAAACACATAACAGAAATAAAATGTTAATTTAAGATACTCATTTAGTAAAAATTGATGTTTACATTTTAATAGTTGTGGTATTTCTTATGGTTTAAATATTTTACTATGTGATCTCATATATCAGTAAGTGTAGTAAATAAGAAAGAGATTGTATGGATGCTTAATAAATTGGAATGTCTGGTGTGAAGTATGAATTGATATATTTTATATATTTTAATCTTATTAAAATGATGTGTTAACATATAGCACCTTTAACAAGAAGTTGTCTAATAAATCGTGATAAATTTATTAGACAATTGTTTTATGTATATACTGTGTTATGTACTATCACTGTTGGTAAGAAATAAGGTGTTTAATATAAAATTTCCTATAAAAAATGAGCATGACTATAGGTTAGAAAGTCAGTCCGATTTTATATTTTTCTCTTTGTAATTGGAATGCTGGAATACTACGTTGCATTCTTATTACATAACATTTGTAAACTAATATGTTTTTCTTGTCAGGTTGCAATGAGGTAAGGTACTTGTATGTAGCTATGTGTCTTGTCTTTATATTTTTCACATTTATGTTAAATATAATTTATCCCTTAAAAATTGTTAATGGTTTATTGTTCACGTTAAAATAGAAGAGTATGATGGCAATAAATATTCTTGTGTTCAAAATTCATTTGCAAAGCTTTTGCTAAGCTGATTGAAAATGTTTCTATTTACATGGATGTGCCATTAGTGGAGCAAATTGGTATACATCTCTAATGTTTTTTGCTTTATTTGCATCGTGAAATGTAACGAATTGTCAAAATATCTTCGAAATCGTTTTGTAATTAGATATTGGTTATCATTTTTGTAAATCCTAGTCTTTGGCAATTTGTTTAACCTGACCCACCGCACTTATTGTGTTAACTTTGTAGTGAAAGTATTTTGTACTCTGATCAATTTAAATATTAATAGAAATAAAATCTAAATAATAAATTATTATAAGGTAAAGGTTTTCGTTTTGGAAGGAATATTATTTTGGAATTTGTTAGTTGTAAAAAGTAAAAGGTTCGGTATCTGAATTTGTTCACCCTCTACATTGACGTGTTGTTGTTAACGTGAAAAGACAATGCTGTGATAATCATAATAAAAGAATAGTTACAAAAAAATCTGTTTCCTTTCCACCCAACTACACCCGTGCACAAACTATCGCGAGATATTTAATTAAATTACGAATTTAAGGTCCTTCATTCATTTAACTCTTTGCGTTAAACGAATTTTTTTTCTTAGCAATCAATACAAAGTTATTTACTAACATTAAAGATGATGTTAGGCGGCAGAATTTCGATAAAAAATTGATTTTGTTTTATATGAAAGATAAGATTCATAGTAAATGATAGAAAGCTCTAAAGGCGTGCACTTACGTATGTATCTAATAAACATCCAACTTTGTCGCCTTCGCATATCCCTGAGTTGTCGAAACTAATTTTTACAGTGGGCGACAGACCAAGACATAGCAAACGCCATAGCAGATGTTGGCGTCAACGATTTCCAAGACGTCAAATTCTTCGAGAACAGGGCTAACGGACAGTCGAAGGGTTTCTGCGTTATTTCGCTCGGTTCAGACCAGTCTATAAGAATGATTATGGACCGTCTGCCAAAGAAAGAAATACACGGACAACACCCAGTCGTTACTCTACCAACAAAACAGGTAATTCGCGACAAAGCTGTATTTAGTCCTCGTTTTGTAGTTCTAATAGACTTGATTTGTTACTAAAATAGTATGAGCTTACCATTTTCTTAGAGGTAAATAAAATAAAAATGAGTTTCAACAGACTGTGGTTTAGGCTGAAACTCTTGACAGTTGTAGTTTAAAAAAAAACATTTTGGGAGCAAATATATGACCATTTTTTGCAATATCCCGAAAAATACATCAAAAATTTCTTGCTTAATACACTTATAAGCAAACTCGTTTTGTAACCAAATTTTACTATGTACTAGAATGCAAATGGAACCAATATTTTTCAGGCATTGAATCAATTTGAGAGTCAGTCGAAGACTAGATCGACGCCCCCGGGACCAAACAATGGTCCAGGAATGAGAGGTCCACATCCGAGCGGACCACCTGGCCCCCATCCAGGAGGTAATTAAACTAAAAATACAAAGGAATCTTTATTTTATTTTATTCATAATATGTCAGTTAA